ACTGTGACAACACGCTGATTATTATCGTTGATTAAGGAGCAGAGCTTTGCTTTCTTTTAATTGGAGCAATTTGTATGATTTATCTTGAACACAGGCTAAGATTGGTCGACGTATGACTAAAAAAATATAAAATTACCAGCTACTTGAATTTTTTTAATGAAGTGACTTACTACTCATTTTATATTCATAAATTATATCTCTGAAGTAATTTTTCAACTTGATGACTCTGTATAATAGGGATATTCATTTATGACGTAATACGATCTACCATGACTTATTTTCATTACTAAAAAAAATACTTTGAAAAGAAAACATTAAAACAAACAATGTTTAGTTTTTCCTTTAGATTATTATGTAATAAATATTAAACAGGGGGGTGGGGTTAGCCTATTCTTATTTTCTCTTATAATAGAGCGGGAGGGGGTCTTATTGAATACATCTTACTTTACGTAGTAAATAAATGGTCCCAATGTTGTAAAGACAAAAGCAGCCCTTGCTCCGTTTCGTACCACTTCTTCTCAGTATAAGGTCTCCCGCCTTAGATTTGTAAACCTCTGGCGTAGCTTTTGAACCTGTACAGTGGCTGTAACAGTCTAGACTGAATAATGATTTTTGATTTTCATAAGTTAGATGGGACAGAGTCAGTGCCGTCTTTGACCTATTGGAGGCCCTGGGCATATTAGGATAATGGGGCCCCTATCACTTCCGTTTGGCGATTTAACAGGAACTCCCTAGTTCCTCCATTAAAAAGAGTCCCTACTTTGTATTTGATCTGAGGGGGCCCCCTATCGATCGCGGGGCCCTGGGCACTTGCCCAAAGTGCCCACTGGGAAAGACGGGTCAGTCAGTACCCTTAGTACGAGATTGTGCTCTCGAAAACTATCATAGTTTTCGTTATTGTAAATTATGTTTGTATGTCCATTTTGGTGAAAAGTAACCTACTATTCTTAAAATTTAAGAAGACGCAAGTGATTTTATGATAGAATTTAAACACTGTTTATGTGTATTGAAACGAAAACAATAAAATCAGTACCCTTAGTACGAGTACGAGCTCACGAAAACTGTCATAGTTTTCGTAATTGTAAAACTCGTACTAAGGGTACTGGACAGGGTGATGAACCTTCCCAATAGCGTTGCCATAACGAATACTTCCGCGTAAATTCCAATCATTCAAACCAAAACCACCCCTTTAACACAATGAAACGCCACTGAAATCAGGTTACAATGAATCGAATACATATATGCGGAAGCACCTATTCGTTATAACGAACAAAAAGAATCATAGGTCATGTAGCGTTGAAACTCCGCAATACGGCAGTGCTGTTAATGTCCGCTCCGGGCAGACGGGTCGTGACCTGTCTGGTGCCACCCCTTCCACCTTTACAGCCACTTAAAGCTGTTCAGGTGTAACCGGATAAGGAAGATCTAGCAATTTCCTGTGGCTTTTCACAGTCAGTACTTATTTATAACTCAAGGAAACCAGAGTTGTTTTCCCAGGACTACAGAAGTTTAATAAACAAGGATTGCACGTAAAAATCTGGACACAGTACTTTTCAATTTGTCATTTGAAAGAAATTTAATTGAAAGAAGAACAACCACTTTGTATAGGGAGTTGGTACAGATATCAAGTTCTTTGTTCAGGAGCAAAATATATACCATTGTTAAGCTTATTGTTGACGTATACTGCCAGTCTTTAATTGAATTCGATAGCTAGTTGGGATAATGAGATATTTCGAATTAAATTAAAAATAAAAAAATATTTAAAGTATAAAATAGGGTGTTTGGTGTTATCTACATAATAAACATATTTTTTTAAATAATTTGAAACAACTATATGTCTACAAAGGCATTACAGTCAAATTCCTAGTATCCCATAACACAATCCTTATAGTGCTTACTTTGGGGCTAGGCTAATTGGTGTGAGTGTTGGAAATATTTATTTATTTATATATTTTATAATGAAATAAGCAGTGCCCTTGTACAAATCTCTTGTTTCTGTTTTTCTTATTTGTTTTATTGTGTGTGTAACAAATTAGTTACTAAAGTAACGAACTTACAAACTTCACCTTTTTATAAAATTTGAAATAGATAGTCATAATTATCATACTATAAACATCAGTTTCAACAAATATCAATAATCAACTAGAAGTTCATATTTAAAAATGTAGTTCAGAAGATATACGCCTAGGAGCCAGACGGGGCGTGACTCGTCTACAGTACGTAACCCGAGAAGATTAATGTTGTCTACGCAGCCTGTCTGGAAGTAAATCCATTAAAGTGAAGCGTCAGTGTATATACAAGACCTAAACCCTTATTATTATAAGAAAGAATTTCCAAACGTATAAATCAAAGTGAAGCTCAAAACAAAAGAAAAATTGAACAACGGAGGAGGTAAAACTATTAAAGTGTTGAGAGGCAATTTCACCAAATCTTGTAGTATCAGATATATATGTAGTATATATATATATAGGTACAAGCTGACTTGGCGAACTTCGTACAGTCCAAAAGTAATAATTTGCAATAAAATAATAAAACGACTATATATTCATAAATGTAAGTTATCCTATCTTTCAAGTTGGATCAAATTGCACACGGTATGCAAATTTGATTTAAATCGGTTAAGTAGTCCAGGAGTCCATCCCGGACAAACAATGTGACGTGTAATTTATGTATATTAAGATATATATAACTTTAATTGCTATTTCTTCATCCAAATGTTTAATACTTGTAAAAGTATTCATTTGACATTGCTGGTTACGAAGGGATGGCGCTGCCTTGCAGCCTAACAAGTATTCGAGAAAATTCGACACGGCCATTAGGCCCGCGGTAGCAGGTCAGTGCATTCGCCCGGACAGCGAAGAGTGGGAGTTCGAGTCCTGTCTGCTGCCTGGGTCGCGCGGATTTTTTTCTATTAAAATATTCTTAACTTTCAGGTAGTAATCATGGCTCTTGCAACAGTGCCGAAATATCAGGAAATCGCAAAAAATAAGATACACGGTAGCAATCCCGTAAATAATATAAATTATTGTAAAATGTTAGTGAACATGAAAGATTAAAACAATATATTATTATTAACTCAAAAATATGAGGAATAAAAAGCAGTTGCCATATTTCGGAGCCCCAAATACAATAGGTTAATCCCATTATCGTTACTGATAATTTCCTTATGAACATGACTCGGCGCGGCCCAAATGAATTGGGTCGAACCAACATGGATTTTGGACAAGGGTGTGGAACAAATATTATTGATTAGTGTTCTGTTGATATTGTAGTTGAAACACTGTCACAATCACAATACAATTTATCAATGGAGGGATCCGTGTGTGAAATATTAAAGGTTTAGAATGCTACTTCTTGAATAAGGATCACGGAAGACCGTGATCATGGCGCTTGCAACAGTGCCGAAACATCGGAAACTCGCGAAAAATAAGGTACATGGTAACAATCCTGTAAATAACTTATATTACTATAATGTTAGTGACCATGAAAGATTAAAACAATATAGCAGCCCCTTTATTAATAAACAAAGAATAAGCTTGGATTAGTTACTCCATGTTTTGTCTTTGTTCATTGAATGACAAATGGCATTTGAGTGATAGAAACAAAACACGGTGTAACTAGTCTAAACTTATTCCTCGTTTATTAATAACGGGGCAGATGTTTAAAGCGACTTTATTTTAAACATAGACATGCTCGTTGCTGGTTTGGTATCAGGTTTTTTACTTTTTTACGTTAAAAGTGTGGCAAACAAGCATATGGCCCGCCTGAGGGTAAGCGGCCACCATAGACTATAGACTCTTGCGATACCAAAAATATCAATCGCGCCAATGCCTGTCCTGATTCAATTCCCTACCCCGTGAAGTGGAGTGGAGTACTATCAAATTCATTACAAATTCTCAATCCTCTAGATGCATTCGTATTTAACGCTGCAGGTTACTCAGAGTCAGGACATCCGGAATCGGATGCCGCACGGGACATATAGTCAGGATATTATAGTGTTGTTGGGTTTCTTTGTTTTTTTTTTGTTTTTTGAAGTTATACTTCTTTAGGCGCGTTATGAAAAAATGATGAGAGTGAAATTTTAAGATGCGCGCGCATCACTGTAACACAAAATTTTAACAGCATGAAGTTGGTCGCTTTAGCGACCAACTTCATGCTGTTACTTTTGTGTTTACCGCACATTAAGAAAATCTACCAACAAAATAGAAATAGAATATCTATTTAGTGGGTGCTAACGACTGCATTGTGAAGGCCTATCAAAAGTATTTATTAATCTGGAACAACGGAACCAAAGCGCGATTCAGGAGGCTATAGCGCCATCTCTTGACCATTGGTGTAGTAGAACCAAAAACCACATCTTTATTTTTTGTAATAAAGTAACAGTTATAGGTATTCATATTTATAATATTTATCCACATTGAGTTTCATACAAGTGCAAATCACATATGTTCTAATAAATTATATTCAGTAGCGATTTTAATTGAATATTTTGATTATTTATTAATTTTTTCAAATTAAAACTGAACTTTATTGACTGTGTCCTTTTCCAGACTTTTTATTAATTTATTGTAATTCATTATTTGCATGCAATTAAAAACTAATTTTAAACGATGCCAAAGAAGGATAACTTCTCACGCGCCTACATAAGTACACGCACCCTTTTTTTTTTTGTTTTTGTGTTTATTTTTTTTTGTTGTTTTTTTTGGTTCTTTTTTGTTTTTGTTGTTTGTTTCTTTTTGTTGTTTTTTTTCTTATTTTGGTATTTGATTCAAGTTTTTTATTTTATTTTTAAATACTGCATAAATTTGGCTTTGAAATATTGTAATAACTGATATACAAAACCTGATAAAGATTGCTTCTAACCTGACTTCCATAAAATTTCATAACAATATAATTGTAGGCACTCATGCTCTAAAACCTATGTATTGCTTTAAGATGATGTACATGACTGTATGTTGCCAGAATAAATAAATAAAAATAAATATAGTAATTTTTAGTACCTGAGAGCCAAGACTTCAACATTGGGCATCCGCCTTAGTAGAGTGACATCACCGAGCTCCGCGCCCCTGTAGACAAAAAAAACATTTATAAAAATAATAGAAGACATGAATAATTGGCACGGCTGCAGATTTTTCAACGTAACGGGAAACCCAAAGGGAAAGTAACTTCCACCTTACAGAAGACCCAGTGAAATACCTTTGGGAGATGTTCTGTTTCTGTCGGTGAGTCAAGTGCCAAAGCTCTATTGGGTTATCTCACATGGAGGGGATGAATCTCAAAGTGGCAGATCAGTAGGTCTGCCGCGCGCGATCAGGCCATAAGATTGTTTATAATAATTCATCCAGTTGTTGCTTCTGTCTTATTTAGTGAAAAGTCTATCATTTTCAGATTTTTATTAGTATTTTATCCAGACTTTTTTCTTCATAGAAACTCGAAAAAACGGCGAAAAATCTAAAAAAATATTTTCATCGATTTTCCCATGGGAATAAGATATATTCCCGCAGTAAAACCGAGCCTATGTGTTAATCCAGGGTATCAACTAACTCCATACCAAATTTCATTAAAATCGCTCCAGCCGTTAAGACGTGAAGAAGTAACAAACATACACACTCACAAACTTTCGCCTTTATAATATTAGTGTGATTTTCGACCAAAGTGGCGTATAAGCGATTTTGCCTTTACACTGTCGATATGCTTATTTTTCAACCTTTTACCGTACAAGAAAACTACATAATGTGATATTTAACCGGTAGATTAAGTCACTATCGTTCTACAATTACGTGATCAGACGTCATAATAAATCTTGTAACAAATGCGCGCAGGCAGAATACCGATGGCTCTGTCAATACAATCGATGAATCGATAATAATGTGTTTGTGGACGACCTTGCCGATTTTCTGTTTGGTTTATTAATGCCCCGATTGTTTTCATATGATTACACGCCTCAGAAGCAGCGATTGGGAGCGGTTATTCATTATTACAATTTCGTGTAAGTACCATAAGTATTTTTGTACAAAATTTTAGAGTCATCATTATATATTCAAAATATCTTATATTGAAGAAATGGTGTTTTTAAACAATTATTTATTAATTATAATGTCAGAATATTACAGTTTAAGACTAAGCACAACCGCACATTGAGCAACTAAACGCGACCACAAACTGTGCACTGGTTTTTTCATACATTTTGCATGTATCGGTGCAAACCGAGCATTCGAGCCACGGTACCACGATAAATCGTATGTCGATTGTTTTGATTTCGACGAAATGCAGACAATCTCATGAGAGAGATGAGATGCAGAAAATCTCATTGATTATAATCAATAACAACAAAATCAGAAGTGTTTTCATTTCACAACAAGTTCGTCCGAAGCTCTCAGCAGAAATGAACGTAATAGACCTAAAAGTAGTGACAACCAATGCCCACAAACTAAGCCACTAGCGGCTGCGTCTAGTAACTTGAATGAGCCACTAGTGGTCAGGTCTAGTGATTTAACTAAGCCACCAGTGGTCACAGGTCTAGTGACTTGACTAAGCGACTAGTGGTCAGGTCTAGTGACTTGACTGAGCCACTAGTGGTCAGGTCTAGTGACTTTACTAAGCCACTAGTGGTCACGTCTAGTGGCCGCCACTATTTAGTGGTTCAATGTGCGGCTGCTCTTAGGGTTCCGAGACATTAACATACTTTATTTCATGTGTGTTGGAAATATTTATTTATTTATAACGACAATATAAGAATATTTCTGAAATGATTCTCGGTCGTGTATTCATCATAATTTATTAAAGTCCACCCGCATCGCTCTAGTCTATAAATTAAACAGTAATATCGATATAGGATCAATACATTACGAGTCGCGAAATGTTATGTCGTAGGGGAGTGCCGGAATATAAACTTCAACGTGTTTCGCCGTTGGCAAAAACGCGATAAATTTTCGTAGCAACCTCGAGGTCAGGGGGACTATTCTGAACGCTAGTATGCAAATTAAAAATATTAACATTGTCTTTGTACATTCCTCTAATAACCGCAAAGAAATGTCAGATGAACGTCTTCACCGCCTTCATTATCTTGTCTTGAGACTGAGTAATTTTCGATTATAAGACATATAATTAAAGATTATTTTTCTATGTTACAAGGGTGGCAAACAACTGATGTTTAGCGACCACCATAGACTATAGACGTTTGCGCTATCAAAAATATCATTCGCACCGTTGCCTACCCTGGCCCAATCCCTTAGCCCGTGGACCCTTCGAACCTTAGTGTCGCCGCACATGAGCCACCAACCACAACCACAAAACGCCGCCAGCGGCATATTTCTTGTAGTTTTCATACATTTAATATGGACTCACCACACACGGTACGCCGCGCCGGTGGCCGCCACACGCTACAAATCGTCGTTGCTCGCTTCTTGTGGCCCGGACCGGCCACTTAATGCGCCGATACAAAACGCCGCTACACGTCACTCGCGCAATTCCCCACCCCTCTCACCTTTACCTTAGACGGCTGCTGTCGCGCGCTTCAGCCACTTTAGTAGCCGCTTCTAGCTTCTCGTGGCGGCATTTGTGGTTGTGGCATGTGGCCCGTGTGCGGCGACTCTTACTCACCGAACAGATAAGAAATTTATTTTGTGCGATCCGCACACATTTACAAACAATATCAGTATGAAGTATGGATTATTGTCTATGTCCTGTAATGTAGCTAAGAGCGTTAATTGTATTTAACTATATGGATGCGAAATAATCGAAAACATCATCGTTCACAGACATTAGAATAGGCCCCTAGGTTATTGACCGCGGTGAGGATGACTAAGAAAGTGAAATTGGTATTTGATCTGTTAATACTCTTTGACTTACGAGATTTGTTTATCTTAATAATATTATGTATTAAGGAAGTTAAATATTGCTAATCGTCCCATATCTATACATATAATAAAATGGTAGGAGTCAAAACTGTACATTGAATATATTTTTAAAGAATACTTGGGGTGTGATCTACAATCGATACCGAAGCCAAAAATATAGTTTTTAGAATTTTTGTCTATTTGTCTGTATGTATGTCCGGGATGAACTCAAAAAAGTACTGCATGGATTTACTTCAAATTTGGCACGAATATTATTAAGAAGTCGGGTCAACATATATGCTACATATTATCACGCTATCACCTACGGGGAATGAGCAGTGAACCTTTATTTCTAACTAACTCAATGCGTACAAAGTCGCGGGCGGCCGCTAGTATTACATATTATGATGCTACGTTAGGGTTGCCTTGCCATTGGGCCGGATTTCCGGTGCCACAATTTGTAAGAATTTGCGGGACAGGTTTTCAAAGTATCCGAATAAGACAAAACACTTTTAGTGTCAGAGGAAAGAAAGAGTTTATAATTTGTTTGTTAACTGTACGGTTTACGCCAATATACTCTATAAACCAATTGAATAAGAAAATATTAACGACTTTTCATGTAAGTAAACCTTTTTAGATGTTTCAGGGGAAAGGCTCAATTTGTGAACTGTACGGTTTTCGCCAATATACTCTATAAACCAATCGAATACGAAAATGTTAACGACTTCTTCATGTAAATTAACCTTTTTAGATGTTTCAGGGAAAAGTTTCAATGACACCTTAATCTCTGGGATAATTAATGTTTTTGTCCAGCCCGTCTGCAATCATTACCCTAGCGCGCTCTAGTAAGCGCGCGGTCAAATTGGAATGGTGGTAAGTGGCGCTGGGCATCCCTGAGATCGCTGCGCCCTTGCGCGACGCACAATCTGTACCACAGTAAAAAAAAACCGGCCAAGTGCGAGTCGGACTCGCGCACCGAGGGTTCCGTACAAACCTCTAGGTATATTTTAATAATTATTAAAAAAAAAATATTATAGGATGTAACTAAGAATTTACGGTTTTCGCAATTTTTCCTTTATCTGTACTATAAGACGTTACTTCGTACCAAATTTCAAGATTCTAAGTTCACGGGAAGTACCCTGTAGGTTTTGATTCCCGTGCGAGTTTCGAAAATTTGCGACATAAACGGCTGTATCTTTTGATTGCTTTGGCTTAGAAGTTTGATTTTTTCGCAGCTCCAAGGGACAGTACTCCTGAGTATTATATATGAATTTCAGTTTGATACCTCTACGTGTTCCTGAGAAAAACGGTCTTGACAGACGGACGGACGGACAGACGGACAACAAAGTGATCCTATAAGGGTTCCGTTTTTTCCTTTTTAGGTACGGAACCCTAAAAACGCCTTTGCTGCACGCTTTGTTGTCTGTCATAGGCCCTGTCAAAACACCACACCACTGCCGTAGTATTCCAAGTGTAGCTAAGCGAAGACTGTGAACTAGCCAAAGAAAAACTAGTGTAACAAGAACTGTCCCTGCTCTAGAGGCGCTCGAAGTCGCTCGCAGTGGTAGCATAGGTAAAGATGCCTCTGCTGCACGCCTAAATGTCAGTCAAAGGCCCTGTCAGAACACTACTGGCGCAGTATCCGAAGTAGATAAGCTGAGACTGTGAACTAGTCCAAGAAAAACTAGTGTAACAAGAACTGTCCCTGCACTAGAGGCGCTCGAGGTCGCTCGCAGCGGTAGCATAGGTAAAGACGCCTAGTTGTCAGTCAAAGGCCCCGTCAGAACACCACTGCCGTATTATCCCAAGTAGCTAAGCTGAGACTGTGAACTAGCCAAAGAAAAACTAGTGTAACAAGAACTGTCCCTGCTCTAGAGGCGCTCGAATTCGCTCGCAGTGGTAGCATAGGTAAAGATGCCTCTGCTGCACGCCTAGATGTCAGTCAAAGGCCCTGTCAGAACACTACTGGCGCAGTATCCGAAGTAGATAAGCTGAGACTGTGAACTAGTCCAAGAAAAACTAGTGTAACAAGAACTGTCCCTGCACTAGAGGCGCTCGAGGTCGCTCGCAGCGGTAGCATAGGTAAAGACGCCTAGTTGTCAGTCAAAGGCCCGGTCAGAACACCACTGCCGTATTATCCCAAGTAGCTAAGCTGAGACTGTGAACTAGTCCAAGAAAAACTAGTGTAACAAGAACTGTCCCTGCACTAGAGGCGCTCGAGGTCGCTC